GGTTAAGAAAGACACATAAATGGAAGCATGTACCATATTCATGGATTGAAAGAATTAACAAAATCTAAAGGCCATACTACCCAAAGCAATTTATAGATTCAATGCAATGCCTATTAAAATACCAATGACATATTTCACAGATATAGAACAAACATTTCAAAAATTTATTCAGAACCATACATGACCCCAAATAGCTGCAGCAATTTTGAGAAAGAACAAAGGATGATGGATCACAATACCTGACATGAAACTATATTACAAGGTCTCTGCAAGCTAAAGTCTGGTACTGGCATAACACCAGACACATAAACCAATGAAACAGAATAGAGAGTTCAGAAATAAACCCGTATCTCTATGGTCAATTCATATTTTACAAAGAGGGCAGGAACATAAAACGGAATAAAAATAGCCTCTTTAAAAATGGTGTTGTGATATCTGGTCAGCTATGTGCAAAAAATGAAACTCGATCACCAACTTACGCCACACAGAAAAATAAACTCAAGATGGATAAAAAACTTAAATATAAGATGCAAGACCATAAGTCCTAGAAGAGAACATAGGCAAGGCATCCTCAGATATTCCACACAGCAACATTTTCACTGATATGTTCCCTCTAACAAATGATATAAAGGAAAGAATAAACACATGGGACTGCATCAAATTAAAAGCTTCTGTATGGCTAAAGAAAATGAAAAGGAGACAAACCCATATGGAAAAATATATTTGCCAATGATACTTCAGACCAGATTTTGATCTCCAAAATATATAAAGAACTCATACAACTCCACTCCAGGAAGATAAACAATGCAATTTAAAAAATGGGCAAAAGATTTGGAACAGACACTTCTCCAAGGAGGACATAGAGAGATCCCAGAGCCATATGAAAGGATGCTTAGCATCCCTAGCCATCAGAGAGATGTTAATTAAAACCAAAATGAGATACCACTTCACACTGATCAGAACCACCATGATAAACAAATCAACAAACAAGTGATGGTGAGGTTGTGGAGAAAAGAGAACCCTAGTGTACTATTGGTGGGAATGCAGACTGGTGCAGCCACTGTGGAAAACAGTATGGAATTTCCTCAGAAAACTAATGCAACTGCCTTTTGACCCAGCAATTCCACTGTTAGGAGTACATCCTAAGAACCCTGTAACACCAATTCAAAAGAACCTATGCACCCCAATGTTCATAACAGCACAATTCACAATAGCCAAGTGCTAGAAGCAACCTAAGTGACCATGAGTAAATGAATGGATCAAAAAATATTATATTTACACGATGGAATACTATGCAGCAGAAAGAAAGAGCTCCTATCCTTTGCGACAGCATGGATGGAATTGGAGAGCATTATGCTAAATGAAATAAGCCAGGTGGTTAAAGACAAATACCATATGATCTCACCTATAAGTATAACCTAATCAAGAAAACAAGAAAGCAAAATACAACCAGAGACACTGAAATTAAGAACAAACTGACAGTAACCAGAGGGGAGGTGGGAGGGAATAATGGGGTGGGGGAAGGGTAAGGGTATTCAGGAACATCTACAAAGGACACATGGACAAAACCAAAGGGGGGTAGGATTGAGGGTGAGAGGTGGGGATAGCTGGGGTTAGGGAGTGGTGGGGAGCAAATGGAGACAACTGTGCTTGAACAGTAAAAAAATAATAAAATAAAAATTAAAAAGGGATAAAAAAAGAATTGTGCTCAGCATAGTCTGACAAATGTTTTTAAATTCCAGTCCATTACATATATTGTGATTACATATACTTTCATATTTGTTTCAGTCTTTATGCTATTTTTTACTGAGCCATAATTTATAAACAATGTACAGGATAGGGAAAATGTAGGTTTACAGTTATTTGTATGGAAAATAATACAATATAAGGAATATAAGAATTTTAAAAAATCATAAATCCTGACTTAGTTATTAGCCAACTGAAAGAACTTCTCAGTGCTCCATTTTTACCTGTAACATGTGAATAATAATAATTATTATTGTTAATCTTATTGTACCTCATTAAACTGTATTATAGGCATGTATATACAGTATAGGAAAAACATACACTATATGGGTTCAGTACTATCTCAGGTTTCAGGTATCCATAGGGGTCTGAGAACACATACCCTGTAAGTAAGGAGGAACTATAGTAACTAATAAAAATAGAATAATTACAACAACATAGTGTAATAAAATTTATGTGAATGTGGTCTTTCTCTGATAACCTATCTGGTAACAAGATGGTTAATAAGTGATTAATGGGCAAGGTACATCTCTAGCATGGGTACACTAGACAAAGGGATAATTCATGTCCCAGGTGGGATAAAGCAGGAAGACTTGAGTTTTCAGAATGACCCACAATTTAAAATTTGTTTACTTATGGAATTTCCATTTAATATTTTCAGACCTTGGATGACCGCAGGTAACTGAAACTGCAGAATGTGAAAACGTGGATGAGTGGGTACCTCATGGGTAACTGTGAAAAATTAATTACCACAAAATTGTTCCTCTGGGACTAGAAACTATTCAATAAAGAAAAGATGCCATTAATATCATGATGATCATAATTACTATGTTATTATTACTATCATAAATATTCTTGGCAAGTGTTTGGCTTTTCCCAATTTGGTAATTTAAATCTTCAATGAAGCCCTGGCTGGGGAGCTAAGTTGGTTACAGCATCATCCTGATATGCCAAGGTTGCGGGTTCAGTCGCTGGTCAGGGCACATATGAGAATCAATCAATGAATGCATCAATAAATGGAAAACAAATCAATGTTTTTCTGTTTCTCTCTCTCAAAAAACAAACATATCAACCTTCAATGAATGGAACCTAAGTATCTGGAATTCCAAATTACCTATTATTTTTACCCTCCCACTTTTTATTTAAAGAGGGGCAATTTTAAAAAAGACCATTTCAAGCATTTATTCAAAACAACTCCATGGAGAGCCTAGGAATGAGTACATGGCACTTCTACTGTTCTCTGTAACTACTGTTTAATGTTCACTGGAATTAAGACAGCTGGGGATACAATTCCACTTCTGGGTGCATATCCAAGAAAACCCAAAATACTAATTCAAAAGAATATATGCACTGCTATGTTCACTGCAATATTATTTACAATAGCCAAGATATGGAAGCAACCCAGGTGTCCATCAGTAGACGAGTGGATAAAAAAGCTGTGGTATATACAGGATGAGCAAAAGTAGGTTTACAGTTCTGATTACATGAAAACATAGTTTATTCTTATATTATTTTCCATACAAACAACTGTAAATCTACTTTTGCAACACCCTGTATACACAATGGAATATTACTCAGCAATAAAAAAGAATAAAACCTTACCATTTGTGACAGTAATGGATGGACCTACAGGGTACTATGCTAAGTGAAATAAGCCAGTCAGATTCCTTACATGGAATCTAAAGAACAAAACAAACAAATGAAACAGAAACAGACTCATAGACACAGAGAGCAAGCACAGTGGTGGATGCCAGAGGAGAGGGGAGTTGAAGAGCTGGATGAAAAAGGAGAAGGAATTAAGAAGTACAAATTGATAGGTACAGAACAGTCACAGAGATGTAAATTACAGCACAGGGAATATAGTGAATAATACTATAATAACTATATATGGTGCCAGGTGGTATCAGGCAGTTGATGAGAGAATAACCCCCCAATAATGTAGTATTTCTTCCATCTTGCACCCAAATGTCCTTCTCCTTTAAGGTCTAAATGACAATTATTTGCACAGCTGTTTTCTCTATGAAATATTATCAAGAACTTTACTTTTTATTACTATCAAAAATTCTTTATACTTTTCTTAGTTTTTATAATAGAAAATTATAGACACAGGAAGCAGTTTTTATAGGTCAGCAGCAGGAATCAGTTCTGTAACAAAAGATCCAAATGATAAACAAGTATGCTCCACAGGGCCACAAAATGGGGTGCCCAGCAAGTCAGAACCAAGGCACAGGTGCCCAGGGTGCTGAGAAATCCATGTGACACCACCACAAGATAGAAGTCACAGGCACTGTGAAGATCCTGCATTCCCAGGATTATTGGGTCCAGGGACATAGATGTGGACTGGGACACAGCTGGGAACCTCCTCCAGCCTAAAACTTCCTCAAGAAAGCCAAACAAACAATGAGACAAATTTTAGCATGAATACTGTCAGAAGTGCCTAACCATAAGCAATTGTAAGTAGTTCATCCTAATTATCTTCCAAAACATCTCCTTCCTCCTAAGAGGCTCTGAACCTATTTCCTGCATCCCAGACCCCAGATATCTCAGGGCTAGGCCTGTAGATCTCCTGCTAACAGTCCACACCTAAATCGGAGGACTGAACCATCTGAGAAATCCTAAAGCTGTCCTGAGAGTTGTAAGATGGACAACTCTCCCATCTGCCCAGGATTTATGGCACCTCCACTGAGCTGTGGGTACTTGAGCACAGCCGGAAGAGTATCCCACCCTAACCATGAAATTACATGACAGGCCCCCTGGACAGAATGCCGATTTTAAGCAACTAAACATGTAAGAATGACAAAACATTAAAAATCTCTCTGAAACTAAAAAGAAACATCATGTTTTAGACTCTTCTGCTTTTTGGTTAAGCTGTTGTCCACAAATGACTGGTGCAGGACATTAACTCTGTTTTATCAGTCTGCATTGAGACACAACTGGGATGGAAACCATTACTGCACACTGCTTAAGGCATTGGTCCTCCCCTTCTTAAGGAATGTGAAGGCAAGTTTGACTATAACCAGTTTCACAAAACAAAGTGTTGTCAGTACCTGTTCATGATCCACGATGAAGAGAAATACAGGTTTTTGCATATAACATTCTACAACTGTGCTCTCATTGTGTATCAGCTCCCAATAGACAGTCAATAAAACTCATTCATTCTACACTAGAAAGGGCATTCAAAAGGGACATAATCTCCATAAACAGCTACTACACCCTGTCGGTCCCTCCTCCAACACCCTTCTCCCCACACTCACATATCCTCCACGCTGATGTCTTTCAGGATCTGGCAGTAATCCACATTCCACACAGCCTGGTCATCCCACACCTTGGAAGCCAGCAGGATAGCCCCGAGGACAATTCGCTTCCAGTTAGCTGGACAGATATCTATCTCTGCATATGTTAGAAGTCTTTCAAGGTATACCTAGGGGACAAGAAAATGCCAGAACTAAGTAACTTATTTTCTCTCACACATAAGCCTTCACGAAGAAATTCTAAAATGGTTTAACTCTTTTCTACCAACCTTTAAACAGGGATTTATTACCTAATCATACTTATTTTAAAAAAGTCAAAGGCTCAGTCTGATGTACAATGTGCACACTCCTTTACTAGAGTGTGTGGATGTAGCTGGATTTTGAAAGACTCGAAGGCAGAAACAAACTCCAGGAGCCATTGGTTAATTCCTCATTCTATCAACTATGATAGCAATACAAATTTGACAAACAATTAACAATCCAGTAAGTAGAACAAAGAATGTGAAAGGAACAAACCTATCTTTATCTGTAGTTTTTTAAATTAAACTTTTTACTCTGAAGTACTTGTAGATTTATACACAATGTTAATAAACCTATTGTGGTAAAATATATATAATATAAAATTTACCATTTAAACATTTTTAAATATAAGGTTCTGTAACATTAAGTATTCACATTGCTGTGAAAACATCACTGTCCATCTGTATCTCCCTAACTTTTTCATCTTCCCAAATTGAAACTCCGTACAACAACACCCCTGGTAATCATCATTCTACTTTGTCTCCATGAATTTAACTACTCTAGGTACCTTATATAGGCAGAATCATACAATATTTTTCCTTTTGTGTCTAACTTATTTCAGTGTGAAGGAGTACCTCACTATGGTTTTGATTTGATAAATCCATTTTTTGTTTTTTTGATTGTATTTTTTCCATTACCACTTATCCTCCTTATACTCTCCTCCCCACAATCACCACACCGCTGTCCATGTTCATGAGTCTTTTTTCCTTTCTGCTCCATCCCTGTACCCCTAACTCCCCAGAGCTGTCAACCTACTCTCTGAGTCTGTCTCTGTTTTGCTTGTTAGTTCAGTTTGTTCATTAGGTTCTACATATGACTGATATCATATCAGCTGAAGATAGAAAATAAAAACAAATATAATAGGATTTACAAACTGGCACAATTTAGTTTGAGGGCAGACATCAGAAATGCTCACAAAACTCACCACTTGGGTTGGGTAACAAGAATGCCTTTGAAAATTTCCACTGGTGAAAAACCTGTTTATTAGTATGTTTTATACTTCCCTCAATCATGAAATTATTTTTTCTATAGTTTACCATTTACAAAATAGAACTACTGCATCAGAAAGAAACAAATTTAGTCATCTATACTTTTTTAATAACTTGCTTTTCCAACACAAATGAAATCTATATAGTGTTAAAATTATTCATAGTTCATAACACCTGTAATGTCTTAAAATATGCTACTTCTAAAAAGGCATGTGCAGAAAGCAAAATGTTCAATATACAACTAAAATATAGATTATTTTTAGGTAATTAATATCAATGTTCATAACTGGGATGGGAAAACTTGAAAAAGGGAAAGAATTCACACATCTGTTACATTGTTAATGTTCTGGGGAGGAGGCTGCCCTTTAGGAAGCTCTTGAGAAAGAGGTAATTAACACACTGATTTTAAGAAGTTTGTTAAATGACATGAATGAGAAAGTAGAACAGGATACTGTTAGAAGCTAACTAATAATTATACAACAAAAAAGTCCTCAGGATGAGAACAGACAGAGTGTGGTCAAACTGGAAGACTTTATTTACTGTCTGAACACCAAGCACGCACTATATACCAGGCTCTGCGCTCATCACTGGAGACAAAATGGGGGGCACTGACCAATCCAGCTGCAGAGGGGAGAAGGAGCTAGAAGGGAGAACAGCTGATGGGAAGAGGCATCAGAAGATTAAAAAGCAGTCCTAAAAAAGGACCAGTATTTGACAATGGAGACCAGCATTCATATTCCAGAGATAGGTTCCTCTGGGAGACCCCAGACTTCTTGCTCACACAGCTGGATGGGTGACACCCTCTTAGACAAAGAACACCAGGAAGAAGAGGCTGGTGAAAGTGAAGACCAGGCTGTGGACATCTTCTATCTGACATGTCCCAGAAAGTTCCATGCAGGCAGTGCACATGCAGGTCTGCAGCATGAGAGAAACACTACTCAGATAGCAATTTGAGAGTCTGTGACATAAAAATGTAGTAAGTCACGGGCATGAATCTGATGACATGGGAGAGAGGCAGAATGACAGAGAGAAGAAGGGGCCAGGCCGAAGCTGTGAGACATCTGGAGAAGGGATGAAGAGGCAGTAAAAAATGAGGCAGGAATAGTCTGCTACATTCTGCTCTTAAGTCTTATTTATAATAGTTTGGAGAAGAAATGGCAAGGTAAAGCTAGGTAGGTAGAATGCCTGAATCAGGCTAACAATGTTATAGAGGGTTTCTGAGAAGGAAATTGAGTGGTCTCTTTCACAATAAAAAATAAAATTAAGTAAAGTCACTTCTGGCAGTATGTGAGTACAGTAGGGCAGTGGAGGCAGCAGGAGTGAAGTATTTAGGAGAATGGGGAAATGAGGGTTAAGGGGGACAGAACTAGAGGGAGGAGGGAGAGTTAAGAGAAAAGGGGAAGAAGGGATGGAAGAAGGAGAAATGATCCTCAGTGAAAACAAAATTCTGAGCAGATTAAGAAAAGTCATAGCATCAGCTAACAGCTCCTTGGTGGAGCTTCCCTGGTTACCCTGGTCTCTAAACCACAGGTAGAAGAGTAATGCTTCCTCTAAAGCAATATAAACTTCCTACAGCTTCTTTTGCAGTCTGTAACAGACCACTGTCTTTACAATGGTACAATGGTGAACATGCAAGGAAGTCTGCAGAGGGAGTTCAGAACCTTCAGCCTCTTCCACTGAAATATGAGCTTTACCAACATGGGTATTGGCACTTAACTATTTGCTGAATAAATAAATGTATAATAATGGTTCTTTTGCTCAGAAAGGTTATTGTTCTGTTTTCACCAATCTATGAAAAAAAGCAATTGTTACATCTCATGGCTAATCCCACATACCAGTTTTTCCTCAGAATGAAGAGGGACATTGTATGCACTAAAAGACAAAGTTAAAATCATGAGAAGAAGCTATCAACATATTTCATATCCCCAAAACAAAATAGCCAATAAAGTGTCACAAGAGTTTATAGAAAAATAGTAGGAAACCATTACAGGGCAAGTCTGCCTGGACTCCCCTGCATTAGTCTGAGAAACCTTCCCATTTGCCCCACTGCTGCGTTTGTCTGGGTATAGCGCAATTGCCTTGGTCTCTCCTCCAAGTAAACCATATGTTTCCTCTTTGAAGACAAAGAGGGCCACATCTCACTTTGCCCACTGTTTGCCCAATATCTAGCATAGTGACAGGGCAGGGCATGGTCTGAGTGCTTCCTTTAAGGGACACTTCATCCTGCAGAATGAGGAAGGAACATCTACATGGAAGTTCTGTCTCTGAAATACAGAGGCAAGCAGGTTTCACATAGAGATTTCTTGTGTATGTGAAGGAGATATTTGTACTCATCATTCAAGAGATGTCATTTGACTTCTTTAGAAACTATTAAAGTGATCCAAAAAGGGAGTATTCTGGGTCAGACTCAATATATTCCACAGGTCACTTCATCTTCAGGGACACAATCAGCTGGGTATGGTTGGTATTCCTGATATACTTACATAACAGGTATAAGCAATAAATCATCTAGGAGATAGAGCCTATCTCCCTATTCCTTAAGGGGGCTGCAAACAGTCACTTCCTTCAGAGTGAGGCATAGAGAGTGAAAAAAAAAAAAAAGAGTAACTTTATAGTGAAAGAACTGGACAAACACAACCTCAGCCAGGTGATCAAGGTTACTGTTAAAAGTGCTTCAGTCATGTTGACAGTATGTACTTTTAATAGGATATAATGAAAACAGAACTTTAACTCTATGGTTTTCCTCCCCAAGACACACAATCCCAGTCTAATCATGAGAAAACACCAGAGAAATCCCAACTTAAGGACACTCTACAAACTACCAGCCCTGCTGTCCTCAAAACTGTCATGATAATTAAAATGAGGAAAGTCTGAGAAACCCTCACAGTCAAGAGGAGCTTAAAGAGACAGGACAACTAAATGTCATGTGGTGTCCTAGAGGGTAGCCTGGAAAATAAAAGGGACAATGGGTAAAAACTAAGGAAATATGAATAAAGCATGAAATTTAGTTAATATTATATCATTGTAAGTTTAGTAATTGTAACAAATATATCAAAAGAATATAAGATGTTAATAATAACATTATAGATGCTATAATATTGGGTTGGCCAAAAAGTTCACTTAGGTTTTTCCATACTATGGCTCTAGCAGTACTTAGTTGTCTTTAACTTCATTCGAAACAATTTTGTAAGATTGTATGGTGACACCTGTCATATTAGCCTGCATTTATTTTTTGTTAAAAAAAGAAAACAAACTGGTAAATTTTTGTGCAGCCATTTTAATACTGAAAATGGAAGAAGATATACAACATTTTGGTATATTTTATTATTTCAAGAAAAGTAAAGAATGTAACTGAAATGCAAAAAAAAATTGTGCAGTGTATGGAGAAAGTGCTGTGACTGACCAAACTGTTAAAAGAGCTCTGCAACATTTCTTGGTACTATCGCCATTTTGGCCAAATAATTCTCTGCTCTGGGGCTGTCTTATGAATTGGAAGATGTTTAGCAGCATCCCTGGCCTCTACCCACTAGAAGGCAATAGCAGGAGAGAGCCAAGATGCTCAAAATATCTAAATCAATAAAGTTATTGATGTAAATGAAATATATGTCTTTTAAGAAAAAAAACTAAATGAACTTTTTGGCCAACCCAATACTATATCATATAACATTCTAGATGTTAATAATGTTATATTATTAAAAAACATATTTTAAAAAGCAGCCAAAATGGGTGACAAAGAAACAGACCCCAAATAAAAGAACAAGAGAATGCTCTGGAAAAACTAGATGAAATGGAGGCAAACAATTTATCAGATAGAAAATTTAGAGTAATGATCATAAGGATACTCAACAGCATGAAACAAGACAGAGTAACCATAAGAAAAG